CCTATATAATTATTAAGTAGTCATAGTAGATGTCCTCTGTACTTAAATTGTAGGTTTTTATGGAAATCTATGCTGCTATGAATCTTCATGTATTGTTTAACAGTGGGGATGTCTTCTAAAAAACATCATTGGCAATTCCTTCCTCACGCAGAAGGATCGCCTGAGCCCAGCAGGTCGAGGCTGCAGTGGCAGTGAGCGTGCCATTGCACTCCAGCCTGGGCAACAGAGTGAGATTCCGACTCAAAAAAAAAAAAAAAGACTTACTGCAAAGCTACAGTAAACAGAACTCACAGTGTCTGCAAAAGGTAGATAAATGGATCCGTAGAACATAATCTCTCTGAGAGAGCCCACTAATTTTTGACAAAATGTCAAAGGCAACACAATGGGGCCAAGATGGTCTTTTCAACAAATGGTTCTGGAATGGTTAGGTCTCCAAATGGATCGTAGACCTAACAGTCAACGCAAAACTGTAGAACCCCTAGAAGGACCGCAAGCAGAAAATCTAGGCAGCCTCGGGTGTGGCGATGACACCACCAAAGACATAATCCATGAAAGAAAGAACGCATAAGCTGGAGCTCATTACAGCGAAAAACTGCTGCCTGTGAAAGTGTCAAGAGATCAGGAGGGAGGCTGCGAACTGGGAGAAGATATTTGCAGAAGACACATCTGACAAAGTGCTGTTTTCCAAATGTACAAGTAACTCTTAAAACTCAACAGTAAAGCCCAGGCTCAGTGGCTCAGCCTGTATGTAATCCCAGCACTTTGGGAGGCTGAGGCGAGTGGATTGCCTGAGCCTGTGGGCTCAAGACCAGCCCAGGCAACTTGGTGAGACCACGTCTCTACAATAAATAAATAAATAAAAATTAGTTGGGTGTGGTGGCACACACCTGTAGTTCTAGCTACTTGGAAGGCTGAGGCAGAAGGATCGCCAGAGCCCAGCAGGTTGACACTGGGGTGGCCGTGGGGGGGAAAAAACCCTCAACAGTAAAGAGCCAGACGTGGTGGCTCACGTCTGTCATCCCAGCACTTTGGGAGGCAGAGGCGAAAGGATTGTCTTAGCCTGTGGGTTTGAGACCAGCCTGGGCAACTTGGCGAGGCCTCTTCTCTACAATAAATCAAAAAATTAGACGGGTGTGGTGGTTCACACGTCCCCTCTACTTGGAAGACTGAGGCGGAAGGATCACCTGAGACTTTTGGAATGCTTACAGTGCTCTATATCATGGCCAGGATGATGTCAGCTTTAAAATAACTTGTTTACAAATGAGATTCCAGGATGGGTGCAGTGGCTCACGTCTGTCATCCTAGCACTTTGGGAGGTGGAGGCAAGAGGATTGCCTGAGTCCAAGGGTTCAAACCAGCCTGGGCAACTTGGCAAGACCTGATCTCTACAATAAGTTTTTTAAAAAATTAGCTGGGCATGGTGGCGCGTGCCTGTGGTTCCAGCTACTTGGAAGGCTGAGGCGGAAGGATCGCCGGAGCCCAGCAGGTCGGGGCTGTGGTGGCTGTGAGTGTGTCACTGCACTCTAGCCTGGGCGACAGAGTGAGATTGTGACCAAAAAAAAAAAAAAAATTCAGCAGTAAAAAAGCCTGATTAAAAAATGAGCAAAAGTCTAAACAGATACCTCACCAAAGAAGCTATGCAGATGGCAAGTATATCACCATGACATGGCAGTAGGAAACTGTGGATGAGCGCAAGAGTGAGACACCCAGGCACATCTAGGATGGGGCCGGAATCTAAAACATGGACACCACCCAGTGCTGGAGGGCGCGGAGCGGCAGGACTCTCGCTTGTGGCTGGGGGGAATGAGAAACGGTTCGGCCACTTCGGAAGACAGTTGGGACCTAAGAGTAAAACACAAGACGACAGAACTCGCGGAACGAAACATGCTCCTATCATGCAATCCAGCAGTCACACCCCTTGGTACTTACCCAGATGAGCTGACAACGTATGTCCACATAGACACCTGTGTCCTGGTGTTTCTGGCATGTTCTTCATGACTCCAAGATGTGGACGTGGCCAAGATGTCCTTCCGTGGGTGAATGGGTTAGTACATGGCGGCTCACCCAGACAGCGGGATAGTATTCACACTAAAAAGAAACGCACTCTCGAGCCGCGGGACAGGGAGGCAACTTAAACACTTACTACCGAGTGGAAGGAGCCCGTCTGAGAAGGCCCGGACTGTGGTTCCACCCGCGGGACATCGTGGAAAAGGCTTCTCTGCAGAGCCAGCAGGAGGACCAGTGTTGCCAGGGCCTGGGGGTGGGGAGGGGTGATGGGCAGTGGCGCCATGCCAGGGGAAGCCATGACGGTGGGTGTGTGTCCTCACACACGTGTCCAAACCCACGGTGTGCACACGCCAAGAGTGAACCTGGGTGTGGACGGCAGCCTTGAGGCGACGGCGAAGTGTCCGTGCAGCTTCCTCCATGGCGACACACACGCAGGGAGACTGCGTGGGGGACGGGCGTGCGGGAGCGCGGGAGTTTCTGCTTCGTTTCTCTGTGGACCCGAAACTTCTCTAAAAGATCAAATGTATTAATTAGAAGATAATCGTTGGGATTTTAAAGCACAAACAAGTGTCTAGTTACTGTCTATTAAAACTGAGAACGTCGGCCGGGCTCGATGGCTCAGCCTGTCATCCCAGCACTTTGGAGGCCGAGGTGAGTGGATTGCCTGAGCCAGTGGGTTTGAGACCAGCCCGGGCAGCTTGACGAGACCTCGTCTCTCCCATAAGTAAAAAAAAAATAGCTGGGCGTGGTAGTTCGTGCCTGGAGTTCCGGCTACTTGCAAGCCCGAGGCGGGAGGATCGCCGGAGCCCAGCAGGTCGTTGCTGGGGTGACCGTGCACATGCCACTGCACTCCAGCCTGGGCGACGCAGTGAGACTCCAACTCAAAGAAACAAGAAGCAAAAAACCGAGAACGCATGCAGCCAATCCACTTGTGAAGGCAAATTCTTTAACACGAGATTATATTCCTGACACAACAGACCATAATTATATACCAAGACCTCATAACGGGTACGTTTTCAACAAATGAGCTCAGTGACTAGTAAGAAGAATAACCCAAGCAGTGGAATGCCTGTCTATGGTTGTAAGTAAAGGTCTCTGGAAAGCAGGAAGCCCCTGCGTGGTAGGTGGGAAGCAGAGAGCTGTCCCGTGGACTCGGACCTCGTGGTGGTTTAAAATTGCACTGCAATTGGAGCTCCCCAGTGGCCGACATTTGATCCTAGTCCGTTGCCAGTGAGGTCAGTCCCTGCCCAGTCCTCTCTGCAGCTGGCCCTGAGCTTTAGAGGAACGCTTTAAAGGGGACGCCTGTCGGCAGGTGATTCAAAAACACCGAGAGAGGGAGAAAGGAGAGGTGGGTATCGCAGGGAGAAAGTCAAGCCATGGAAGAAAATAAGGAAAACAACAGGACACGTTGAGAGCTTGAGGGAGAGAAAAAGTAGCGGGTGGCCAACCCCTTCCCACTGTGGGAGCTTTTCTGCCCTCTCAGTAGATCCTGCTTTCTCAACTTAAAAAAAATTAGCGGGCAGAGGGAATAAGAAAAAGAATGGTCATAGTGTAAGCAGAAAGAGCTTGGTGAAAAGCAGGTCAAATTTGAAAGGAAAAATAAGGCCAGAAGGCAGTGCGGAGTGTTGGAATCTGCAGCCGCGGAGGGCCACGCCCTCTCTCGTGCTCGGTGGTCTCGGGTCCTTGGCTGAGGCCTCGCCCGTGGTTCCCCAGCAGGGACGGTGTCCCCACCCCCAGAGACATGGTGGGTTGTCCCGTCGAGTGGGTGCTGGGGTGCTGCGGGGCAGCCTGCAATGCACGAGACAGCTGCCCCCAAGGCGTCCTCTGGCCCCAAATGTCCACAGCACCACGGCTGACGAGCTGCAGGGCCCCTTGCCAGCTCCGACCTCCGTCCCCCGTGAGCGTGCTCCAAGGCGCCCTTCGTTTCCGACCCGCACACGCGTGAGGCAGCGGATGTGCCACGCCCGTGGTCAGCGCCCATAAAAGAAACCCCGATTTGGCTACGGGGCGGGGAATCCTTTCCTTCCTCTCAGCAGCTGCTGGGTGGGGACACTCGCACGGGGGACAGATGCGAGCTGGGGAGGGGCTGGGGGTGGCCACAGCGCCACAGGGCGGGGGAGCGCTGTGCTGATGGGCCCGCCCGGTCTTGACGGCGGTGTGGCCACGTGGGTCCTCGCGTGTGATGAAGCCGCGCTGAGCTCAGGCGTGTCCAGAGCCACGTCAGCATCCGGGCTTGGAGGTCGTGCCCTGGCTGTCCTGCGCTCGGAGGTCACCATGGGAGGGACCTGGGAAAGGGCACACGAGACCCTGCTGGGCATGTCTGTATCCTGTGAACTCAATTCAAAATTAAACGTTTTTATGAAGCAAACCTTGGGCCGGGCGCAGTGGCTCTTGACTGTCATCCCCGCAGTTGGGAGGCCGAGGCGAGAGGACTGCCTGAGCCCAGGGGCTCGAGACCAGCCCGGGCAGCTCGGCGAGACCTCGTCTCCACAATCCATCCAGAGATTGGCTGGGTGTGGTGGCACACGCCTGTGGTTCCAGCTGCTTGGTAGGCTGAGGTGGACGGGTTGCTGGAGCCCAGCAGGTCCAGGCTGCGAGAGCCGTGATCATGGCACTGCACTCCAGCCTGGGTGACAGAGGGGGACTCTGAATCAAAAAAAAAAGCAAACCTTAAAAGGAGAAAGTCAAGGTTGGCCAAACAGTGAGCGAAAGGTGCGATTTTAACCAGGACAGACAGGAATAATCCAGGCACACAGAGCTCTGCAGACATGCGAGTAGGGGTTGAAAGGCAGCAGACTTGGGGCGTGGTGTTGAAACTCGGGAGACAAACTCGCCTTTTATTTGAAGTGACCTATTCGGCTGCGATGCCAAGAACGAAATGTGCCCTCTGGTGGAACCGAAGGATGTCCCTGTGCCCAGAAGGGATAGATGGTCCAAGTGCAGCCATAAGCTATGTCGTGTCTAATGCTGTTTCATTGCGTGTTTGGTCACAGGGGCAGGCGGATCTCCTGAAATACGCCAAGAACGAGACCTGGGAGCACCTGAAACAGATCCACTTTGCTGCCGTCTCGTGTGGTCTGAACAAGCCCGGCACCGAGAACGCCGAGGTCCAGAAGCCTCGCCGGAGCCTGGAGGTCATCCCCGAAAAAGCCAACGACGAGAACGGAGAATGAGGGACGGGCCCTGCGTGGCCGTGGCGTGCGCGACCCCAGGACCACGTGGGGGGTGCTGGCGTGGCTCTCGCGTGAGAGCAACTTGGGGGTTTTAAAGCACAGCTGGACGAGCTCGTGACAGCCTCTTAAAACTGTGAATGCAGGTGGCAGCCCCGCGAGTGACGGCCCAGAGCCACTCTCATGAGAAACCCTGTTCCTGGCCCCAGGAGACTGTGTCTGTACGCAGAGACCTCCCAGCGCGATTCCAGTGCGAAGAACACATCACCCGCTCTCGCCCCACTGAGCCACGGGCGTTTTCCTGAGTGGAAGCTGTTTCCGACGGCAGGAGGGACTGACTGCACGGTCAAACTTGTATTTATTGCAGGAGAGCGGACCTGGGCGCTTTTCTCGTGTGGGGCTGCCGAGTCCCGGCTCTGGGTGGTCGTGGCGCTTGCTCGCCAAGCCCTTGTTCCTAGGAGGGTGTCGCGGGCTCCCTGAAGCCCGGGACCCGGACCGCCTTGGACAGGAGGGTGTGCCACTAGGCTGCAGCTCCTGGTGGCAGGCCATGGGCACACAGCACGCGGGCAGGGATGCCGGGTAGAGGCAGCCCGCCAGGAGGCTACACGCTGCACATAGTTTTTCATTGTATGAAGTAGTGTTCACATTAAAAAGACGTTTTATGATATTTCTCCAAGAGTGATATGTGGTTTTGTTTTTATTTTATTTTTTGAGTCCGAGTCTAAGTCACCCAGGCGGGAGGGCAGGGGCACACTCATGGCCACCGCAGCCTCGACCTGCTGGGCTCAGGTGATCCTTCCGCCTCGGCCTTCCAAGTAGCCGGAACTGCAGGCATGCACCACCATGCTGAGCTCAAATCTCTTTTTTAATGATTTCTTATAGAGACGAGGTCTTGTCAAGTTGCTCAGGCTGGCCTCAAATCCCTGGACTCAGGGAATCCTCTCGCCTTGGCCTCCCAAAGTGCTGGGATGACAGGCATGAGGCGCTGAACCTGGCTGGTACGTGATTTTAACAAAACGCTATAACTTTTAAGATTTCTAGTTCAAAGTATTTCACTCTTAAGAGTAGCCCATTGTAGCCAGGCATGGTGGCTCACGCCTGTCATCCCAGCACTTTGGGAGACTGAGGCGAGAGGATTGCCTAAGCTTGCGGGTTTGAGACCTGCCTGGGCAACTTGGCGAGACCTCGTCTCTACAATAAATCAAAAAATTAGCAGGGTGTGGTGGCGCACGCCTGTAGTTCCAGCTGCTTGGAAGGCTGAGGCGGAAGGATCGCCGGAGCCCAGCAGGTCGAGGCTGTGGCCGGCAGCGTGCCACTGCACTCCAGCCTGGGCGACAGAGTGAGACTTCGACTTAAAAAAAAAGAGTAGCCAATTGCTTGTTGAATAGCTTTGTCAAACATAAGTTGCTCATCTGGCTTGACCTTCTCTCGCTTTCAGGGAGGTTCTGGCAGTCCGAGCCCTGGCCGGTGACGGGCTGCACAGCGCATTGAGACCCACCCGACCGCCCTCAATGTGGGGCCCCGCCGCCTGGGGACAGGTGAGCCCAGCAGCCGCGGGGCTGCAGCAGGTGTAACGTCCTGCAGGTCTGCAGGCATGCGTTCCCTCACTCTTGTGTGTCAAGAAAGACTTGTTTTCTCCTTCCTTTGACTGAGTTTTTTAACTTGAGCTCTTACTTCCCTACTTTGCACTCTCAAAAGGCCCTGAACGCCGCACGCAACTTGTCATGGCTTCGCCCCTGCTACAACTGCTTTCAAATTGATGGAGCGCCGGAGCTCTCTGAATCATCAACAGCCCCTTTTTCCCATTCAGCAACGCAGGTGTGGCCAGGCCAGTGGACGTGATCTTCAGCGGGGCGGGGTCTTACAAGTTCTTCGCGGTTGGGAGATGGCGAGGCTGACGGTCCCGCTGACTTCCACCCAGGCCCCTAGCATCCTCTTGCAAGCAGGCCCTCCCTCTGCGCGCTCTTGTCGTTGGTGTTCTCATCGTGTCTTGATGCTGGGCGACACGCCCACTGCCCACCCCTGGGTGGAATTCCCGTTGGAAGACAAACCTGCTGCTGGATAGGAGTGGCGTTCCTGCACGCAGCTGACCGCCTGCCAGTGGCTCAGGCTCCTAGCTCAGAAATGAACCCGACACGGGGGAGAAACAGACAGACAGTAGCCGGGGGGTAAAAGTAACTTTGCAGGATGAGAAATGAAATCACGGGTCACTGAGATTGTCGCTGGCCATTCTGGAACCCGGCTGGTGAGTAAATCGCAGCGTTCAGTCTAAAGTGAAAGCCCAGAAATCATGACAAAATGACTTAACATAGAACGAAACTGAAAAAGCAACCCCGCATTTCTAGAATGGTAGGCACGGCCTGATACGTGACTTGAGTGACTGACAGCAGGACATGCGTCCCAGCGTATGCAGGCTTCGGACCGGCCAGTTCAGACTTGAAGGAGCCCGTGGGCCGTGCGTTCCGACACACTCCCTTCCAGACGCAGAGGTTGCAGGTAACAGAAGTGCAGTGACCGATGTCACGTGGTCTGCTGGGGGGGGGCTGGGTGCTGGAGCCGGGGTGGCACCGCCTGCCCTGCCAGAAGTCCGTCTTCGGACGCCTCTCGCCAACGGGATGTGCCTGGTGGCAGGGGCGTCGGCATGCCCGGCGGGTTGCTCCCGGACTCGCCGGTCTGCCCCTGTGCGTCCTGGCTCTCCAGGGCGAGCACCCCCTCCGCCGCGGATGGCAGCCCGCCGTCAGGGCACGGGGTCACGGCAGGGCTGGAGCCCTTGTCTCCGCGCGGATGGAGACAGAAAACATGGGTCACGCCGGCTAGGGCCGAGGTCGCGTGTCATGGACCTTGAGAAGCAGTTTCCTCTTGCGGAGGCCCGACTGGCCCACGGTGGCCTGAGCCTGTGGGGGCCTCCCTGTAAGCCCCTGCCCCCGAGCCAATGGCAATGCCAGCCTTGGCCCTGGGTGTCGTGCTGCGGTGACAGCCTGGGTGCACACTGGCCCCCTCCCGTCATCGGCATTCCTGTGGGGAGCCCCATGCAGCCCTGCACTGTCAATGCAAGCCAGTCCCTGAGAATTTGACCAGCGTGTACGTGGGTCTCTCTCACACACACACACGCGCACATGCACACGGCCTCCCGGGGGAGCGTGTGGTCGGAGGGAGCATACAACAGCTGGTAAGTCTCTGCCGAGACTCAGGAAGATGCAACAGTGTGCGGAAGCCACGGCAGACTGCGGGTCAGCAAAAGTCACACGGAGGCCACGGACTCGAGCCCAGGGTCGGGCGTCCAGCCGTCAAGCCCAGAGTGAGTGTGTGGCCTCCCTAGCCCGCTAAGCACGGCCACCGCCTCTGCACACGTGTGTCACGTGTCTCCTCAGCCACGTGCATGGGGCGGGTGCTGGTCTCTTCCAGCCGTGGCTCCTGCAGGCTGGGAAGGACGCTGTCGAGGGCCACAGGCCAGACTCCTGCTCAAGGTGGGTGGCCCCGCCGGACGTGGACAGGACGACCCCGAGGCGGGGTGTAGGCATCCCCTGGGGGCTGCCGCCCCCCCAGGTGGAGCAGGTGCCGAGCAGGGTGGGAAGCAACAGCCCACCAGCGTTTCCCCGTGTCCTCCAGGCGGCCCTGTCTGGCTGGGCAGGGCGCTCTGCTGGGCCGAGTCCCCGGGCCGAGTGTCTGATGAGGCGACACTGCCCGGGCGGTGCAGGCACAGCACGGTTCCGACCTACCCGCTTCTCGAGCGGCCAGCCTGGCCGGGCAGAGCCACCCCTGTGGCCGGGGCGCCTCTGTCCTCACAGTGCCAAGCAGACCTAACGTGGCTGTCGGTGGGAGCGTGTCGTGTCCTGACGGTGGGTGAGGACGCCCCTCCGCAGCCAGCTGGGCATTTGTCCCATGCTGCAGACGAAGAAATGAAGGCTTCAGGCCGGTTAGTTGATGCAGCTAAGGTCACGGAGTGCCCAAGTCAGGATGAGAACACGGATCTGTCCCCTCCAAAGCCCACATTCCCAGCACTCCTGAATTCCAAGTACATACGAGCGGGACCCCAAAAGCCCAGAACTTATTTATAAAAAATGATGTGCTTGTTCTCATGTATGTTTTTTCGAGCTGGAGTCTCACTCCGTCGCCCAGGCTGGAGTGCAGTGGCATGCTCCCGGCCACCCCAGCGTCGACCTGTTGGGCTCCGGCGATCCTTCTGCTTTAGCCTTCCAGGTAGCTGGAACCACAGGCGCACACTCATTTTTGGATTCGTTGTAGAGATGAGGTCTCGCCGAGTTGCCCAGGCTGGTCTGGAATCCCTGGGCTCAGCAATCCTCTTGCCTCGGCCTCCCAAAGTGCCGGGACAACAGGCTTGAGCCACCGCACCTGGCCTATTCTCGTATGTTTAAACTTCAGCCACCTTCAAAGGACTGTCCACTGGATGTAATACACCTATCGAGATGCTTTTTCCACTGCTCGAAACAATTTTGAACTCGTCCATTTTCATGTCTTTTAGAGTCTCTGCTGTTCTTTGTTTCACCTCTTCCACGTCAGCAGAACATTTCCCTTTGAGGGTTGTTTTTCATCTGGAGAAACCATTTTTTCCATCTTGGGTGAGATGGGGTGAGTAGGGAGGGTGGAACCTGGGGGCCATGCCACTTGTGGTCAAAAACTGCTGAACACTCGGCAGAGTGCGGGTAGGAACACTCTTAAGTCACCCGTCACGAAACAGGCAAATGCGTTTTTGAAACAATCTCCAAAAAAAATTGACTGGAGCCAGACGCAGCCTCTCACAACACCGCTAGCTGGTACGTGGACTCTGACGGGCTCCCAGAACGTTGACCTTGCAGGGGAAGCCTGTACGGACCCCAGGTTTTGGGGGTCCCCCCGGGGATCACCCCTAAGCTGCAAGTCGCCCCTGCCCTGTAAGGAACAGCAGTGTGGCCGGCATTTCACTCTGCTTCCCTGCTGGACGTGCACTCCCGAGAAGCCACCGAGACGCACAGTGGTTTTCCTGAGCACACTGGAGACACCGGGGACTCGCCCTGAACGGAAACACGTGTGTTCCAGCCTGTGGCGTTCACGGCGTTGTCGGGAAGAGGCAGCCCTTCCTCCAGGCGGCGACAGACGCGGGGACGATGAGAGCTTGGGCCGTGCCGCCGTGAGGCCTGCCGAGAGCTGCCTGGCCCAGCCGCCGCCAAGGACAGTGTCGCAGCCCGCCCTGCCCCGTAGTTGCAGGGGGAGCTAGAAACTGCTTCCTTGGCTCAGCCTGTCATCCAGCACTTTGGGAGCCCGAGGCGAGTGGACTGCCTGAGCCCGCAGGTTCAAGACCCGCCTGGGCAACTTGGCGAGACCTCGTCTCTACAATAAATCAAAAAAATGAGCCGGGCGTGGTAGGGCACGCCTGTAGTTCCAGCTACTTGGAAGGCTGAGGCGGAAGGGTCGCCGGAGCCCAGCAGGGTGAGGCTGCGGTGGCTGTGAGCATGCCGCTGCACTCCAGCCTGGGCGACAGAGTGAGACTCCGACTCAAAAAAAAAAGAAAGAGACGGATGGTGTCGGCGGGTGTGGAGACCCAAGCCCAGCACCGCGGACACGCCCTGTGGCCCTTGGCGCCATGCGAGGGGCCGTGAGGGTGTGTCCCGGGGCTGCCTCTCCTGGGAAGATGGACACTCAGCCACGGCTGTAGCAGACCCCAGACCCCCGCACGGC